GTATACAAGAATGTCGTCTATTTTCACGTATCGGCGTTGACTTTGCTGGCCCACTACAAATAAAAGAAACTTGCATCAGTCCCGTACGTATAATGTGTATTTAACCGTCTTTGTTTGTTTTGTCATTAAGGCAGTGCATTTGGAATTCGTCACAGCGTTGTCCACAGACCTGTTTTTGGCGGAGTTCGATCTATTTATGGCCTGCCGTGGTTTACTCATCGACGTTTCTCCAATTGTGGCACCAACTTTGTTGGTGCAGATATCCAATTATCGAAAATCGTCAACAGCACCCAGGGGCAAGCAGCATTGGGTTATTCACGGTCTATGCGTGTTTGGCACTTTAATCAACCTAGTGCCCCCCCCCCTTTTTGGTAGTTTGTAGGAAACCGCCGTAAGGTCCACCAAGCGTCTTCTAATCCGAGTCACGGATAACCATATGTTCACGTACGAAGAGTTTAACACCGTAGTGTCGCGAATCGAAGCGATTTTGAATTCGTGTCCTCTTACACCTATACCAACGGATCCTGATGACTTAGATTTTCTGTCACCTAGTCACTTCCTATTCAGCCAACCATTGTAAGCAGTACCTACACGTTCAACATACACTGCAAAAATGACTGTAACTAACCGTTGAAAGTTACTGAACCAGTGCCACCAAGCGTTCTGGAAACGATGGTCGTCCGAGTACTTAATTACGCTCCAGGAAAATACCAAATAGGTTGCAGAAGGGCCAAACCTCCGCGTTGATGATATGTTGGTCGTGATAGACGGTTAATCCTCCCCTTTAACATGGCGACTGGGCCGTATACGGCAAGTCTTACCAGGCCCCGACGAGATTGTCCGTGTCACCCGAATATTCACGCGCCAAGGTGAAATTATAAGACCTGTAGTCAAGTTGCGGGTGTTGTCTCCCTCACCCCACGAACAGACTATCGTCGTCAAATTTGCGGCCACTTTTTTTTTTTTGACGTCGTTTACTCGTGTGAGCGAACGTGTGCCGGTCTCGTACGTCTGACTTTTGCGATTTTATTTCGTCCGTCTTATATTGTCACGTCACGACATTTACGTATTTTCTCCCATCGTCATGTGCGTAATTACTTGTCTTTCCCGTCGTTTGTCGTATTTTCGTTACCGGCAGCTATTTAAGCGTTGCGTAATCCATACTCACATCGTCCCACTACGTACAATTATATCGATTGTGGGCCCTTATCATAAAAACTGTGTGTACGTAACCGACCGTTGTCGCCTGTACCTAAACGCTATCACTGTGGGTTCGACTATTAACGTTATATACATTATTTTCTAAACATCGATGGTCTAATATCTTTCCGTTTTACGTTCGTATTTATATCGCGTACCTACCTTGCGGTATCTATTCATCTGGCGATTTTATTACTACCATTTTATTCGTAAGTAAAATAAACACGAATATTCTTTTATTGTCCATAATAACTAGTTGAACATTTATTTGCGTAGTTGTAACTCGAACTGTACCTCCTTTTTACGTTGCGTGTCGACACAGTTAGCCTTGACACTTTCCTCGGAAAGGCCCCGGGCTGACGACACAATATATAACAGAGGTACTTGGTAAAAATTTCAAGTCTACGATTAATTCAACTGAATAACATCAAAATAAATAAATCGAAAGTAATAAAACCGTTATTGCCGAAAACTTTTTCCCACTTTTCCCAAGTATTGAGAAAACTACAAAAAAAATCAAAAAACATCCTTTGTTTGCACCACCTGGATCAAAAACGCTTTAAAAAGTACTTTGTCGGTTTTTAAAATTTGACGTAAGATTTTTGGTAAAAAGTTATTAAAAGACAAAAAAAAAATCACACATATAACGAAATCACGCAAAATATAAAAAACTTCTAATACACATTAAATTCTAAACGTACCATATCAGTGCAGAATAAATAAATTAAAAATTATATATATTATTAGCGGTTAATAACATAATTATGTTTTTTCACTGTAGTGTTACAAACTCTGTTCTTCACGTGTAAAATTTGTTAATTATAAATAAAGAATTCCACACGACAAGATATGAAATCGGTCGTCGCATTGAGCATACGCACGTTAGGGTTATTAACACTAGTGTGGTAAACCGACATTTCCGTGCAACAATGAATGATACGTGTTCATGGGCCAAAGGGAAAACGTGTCCAAGTACGGACGACCTGCCACCAGTAGACAACGGTGGCAGCGTCTACCACCACCTAGGCCTCAATCGAGACGACAACCATATATAAGGACACCGGAATCATCACCGAAAGAACTTGAACTCAGTCGGAAATCGAGACAGCTACACCACCACCGACGCACGAGGAGGAGCACCGTCACCTCGACACCAACCCGTTCAGTCATTTCTTTAGTGTACTCACACCTGATAATTACAACTAAGTCTTAACCCGGGTTTAGTATCGCAGGGTTTTCACTTATAGATATAACTTGTCAACCGTGTTTTGTTTAAATATGTAAATTTTTAAACATACTTTTACATGTTCCCATCAAAAGACTGTATCGGAACAGCTCGTAACAGTAGTATTCAGGGTCCTATTTACGTAAGGACATTATGGGTATTCTTCTAGGGCCCATGTGGATAAGGGGCCCACCTACTGGATTTAATTATTCTTTTAATTTTAATTAATCCTTAAAATTGGAGAATACCAAAAAAAGTTTACACAGTCGAAAATACTTGTAAAAATATAAATTATTTTTTTCAATTTCATCCAAAATATATGGATGTGACATAAGAAATATTCGTATTGAATAGACTATTATTCGTAGATACTACGATAAGGTATATAAAATTGACAGAGCGAAATTTTAACAAATGTTATGTAGTGTATACAGCATACGCTATAAGGTGTATTCAACTAAATGGTAACTTTTTTTTGGAATTATCGTTATACTGAGCTGTAATATCAACAAACGTGTAGCGTGTGTTATATTAATGTAGAAGTTAGTAGATATTTCTGTAATCTTACAGTATACGTCTGACAGTGTAGCAATGTACGTTGTACGAATACGAATAAAATGATTTCATATTTTTGTAATTAATTTTATTATTATTAGTACGTTGTACTTTTCTAAAAATGTGATCTAAAAAATACCTCAGTGACTCAGCAAAGTGAAAATAAGAATTAAAGAAAAAAAGGAAGAAGAATTAAAAAAATTGCATGGTAATTTAAATAAATTTTGTTTTCACAATAACTGAACCATCTTCAACAGAAACACCGTTGGCCTGTTGAAAATTCAGAGAGTAAGTAGCTTAAAATATTTTATAACCAACTTTGATATTGTATATATATTATTATTAATCATGCATGGCATACCTATAGTTTTTATAAAATTAAAGACTTGGTTTTGATATTATTACAGTAAATTCACAAAATACAAGTTTAGAAAATCTTACCAGCCATTTTGAATTAATCGATACAACTTTTTCGAGACAACAAAATGTCCCGGACATAACAAATTCTAAATGAGGCTCTGGTATTATTACCGCCAATTATATCATTAAAACCCTTGAATACTTGACTTTTTTTCCCTAAAATACATCTTTTTAAATTAAATGAAGTATTAAAAATCTAGAAAAATATTTTTAAAAAAATCCCAGTTCAAATCCAGTTTCAAAAAGCTCAATTTTTATTCCATTGCACAATTGCAACTATATGCGCACAGATATCATATTTTTTTGATCAGTAGTATACATTATTTGTACCAACCATATTAGCTATAATTATATTGATAACATTGATTAGAAGATTGTGCATATAAAGTTGCATTCGTACAACCGTTTATTATTTTATTTACAGTAGCACAAACTGTATAAAACTACTATACGACACTTTTCACCGTATTTTAGACGTATTGCTATCAAAAAATAATTTTCGATATCATATATATTTTCGACATGATAAACGAGCAAATTTACCTAAACCCTTGTGATTATTGGTCTGCTGACTACTATCTGTTTTTATGATTTATTCGAAAATACAGATTACCGAATAACCAAATGTAACATTACTAATATCCATCGTTATTCTAAGAAACTAATGATATTAAGATAACAGCATAACAATAATTTAAAAACCAGCAAAAAAAATAAAGAAAACTCATATCATGTATACAACTATATGTATTTAAGGGTAGATAATTTATAACTAAACTAAGGATTGGTGATGTGTTTGTAGTTGGTACTTACATGAACAATAGAAACGTTTTTCATTTCAATATTTATTAGTATTTTATGAGCAGAATCTATAACTGCATCTGGTCCATGTACATCTTCATAATCCACCATTGTTTTGCATAAGGTACCGTTGCAAGGTGTCTTTACACATTTTAAATGCAAATTCCCTTTGCTCGTACCTATACAATAGTAACCATTAGACTCAGCAAAGACATTTCGCAACGTTAAATTATAATACACCACAATGTAGAGACATATAACAACTTTAACTGAAGCCATTGGACATAGTACAATAAATCATAGGAACGTATCCAATAAACAAATATATTTTATACGAAGTGTCGTTATCTTATACTGTTCAAGTAAGGTTATGATTTAACAATAATACGTGTAACTGAGGTAACTCCGGAAAAAAAAAAACATTTTGGTCTGGCCAAAAAATTATATTTACATAAAAAAAAAACACGAAATAGTTGTAATAGTTAAATACTTTATTTTTATAATATCCATTAAAATTTTTTAGGTAGGTATATAAGAAAAAAACTAAGTCTGCTTACGAGTGTGCCACTTTTGTAAGTAGGGAGTTTTGAAGGTTCGATACATAAAATAAAATATATATATTGTATAGTACATTTAAAACAATCATGTAGAGATAACTAAATTAACATTATCGTCAGCCCTATGTTTATGTAGGGGATAAAAGTTCTGATTTCCTCACAAAGTAAGGTAATTAAGTTTGTTGATAATAACTCAATTAATTCATTTTGAATTTACGAACTCAGGTATTTAATTCGTGTTTTTATATAATTGGATCAAATTCAGTCACGAGTCGTACAGATCGGATAAAATTTCCTTCGTTCATATTTGTAGCAGTTGATTTCCCTTCATAACCACGGAGGGCTGTATTACCAGCTGTCTCTCCATTACTGGGCTTCTTTGGATATTTCATCTTCTATTGACTGGTCAATTGTTTGATTTTTTACTCAAATTTTGGGTAATTTAATGTGCTAAATATAAATTCTGTGTTTATTAATGTTTTGTGATAAATGTTGCCAATCATTTATTCCTTGTATCCACGATTATCATGTCGAAAATATATATGATATCGACAAATGAAAATTATTTTTTGATACCACTTTGATTTAAAATAAGAATGTGTTCTATCAGAAAATAATTAACAAGATTAGAATTCACTGAGTAGGAAAGACAAAATCTAGTATTTTTTGGCCAGCTAAATTTATTGTTAAATAATATTGAACAGACAATTTTCGACACATTTTGTTTTCATCTTGATATCATGTAAAATACTAGAATCTAGAGGAAATTTAATAGTTGGAATTTCAATTTTATTGTAAAAATAGTTGTTCTAAGATAATACGGACGAGTGCAGCCACTGCTGTAGGTGGGAAGTTAAGAAGGTAGACAGAATAGAATTTAATGTATATCTATAAGCAACGATAAACCGATTAAAACAATTATTAAAGAAAAAACGATTTTCAATTGAAAGTGGTGCTTTGTTAATAATATATATATAATATTATGGTAAAATAATTAAATAGGCTAGGCATTATATATTTTCTTTTATTTAATATTGATCAGATTTTCCCGTTTTTTCCATGTTGTTTCCTGGTTTTTCACATTTACTGGGGTAACTCTTGGGAAAATCGAAAAATGACCTCCCAGGGATATCTTCTCAGTCAGATTTCCTTTCAGAATAAGGACTGTAAATCGGATCAAAATTACTGGAAGAGAAGTTATTCACAGGAAAAAAAGAGCCAAAATATTTTTCAACTTATACTTACATTTCGTACACAGAATAAAAAAATATAATAATAATCGATTATAAATTATATGAATTCCCTAAATTCATTCGCTGTTTTATAAGTTTTATTAACATAATTTTGACATATTATATCAGTAAAAACTATTAATAGTTTATAAAGATTTATTTTAAATTAATTTTTTACTTGTATAACCAGTAACAACATTCTCTTGCTTATTTTGATTCTTGATAAATAGAAGTGAAATACCACTTGTTTGGACCGGGGTGGGCGTCTAATTTAAGCACACCTCCACCAGAATATCTAATGGTCGTACTTTAATATAATTGTGAACATATTACACTAAAGCTGCTATTTAATAAATTTTAAATTTAAATTGTTACTAGAAGTAAAATATTTTTTCTCAACCGTTCATTAAATAATTTGTTATGAATAATAAGATAACCATCAAACTTTGCATATCATTGTTTGTTAATTTGCTAACCATATTCCTTTTTATAACTTATTTTGTTTTTACATGTTATTACGTCACTCAGAATCTAAACTAAGTTATGATGGGATTGAGAGACAAGGCCACAAAAAATAAATAAAAAAATGTAATTTTAGTACTAATTACTTTATTTAAATAACATCAATATTAAGGTAAATAATCAATATTAAGGCAATTATATACACACACACATATATATATATGTAATATACAATAAAGAACTTAATAAAAATAATAGTCTTGTATCAATTTAAAACATAGAATATTACATAACATTAACATATATAACATATTTAACATAACAATAACATTACATAGTACAAAAAAAAAACAATGATAAGTACAAAAATTATTGACCTCTAAAAATAGTTTATTTATTATACCATGTTCTCAAAGACATTGTTTCATTTTGTATCCTACAATTATAATTTATTTTGATGTCACAATAGGTTGAAATGATTACTTTTATTAATAAAATAATATGATTATCTAGTACTGCGGTTCCCAACCTTTCTCAGTCTAAGCGCCTTTTTTTAAAAAAAAATTTCTCGTGGAGCCCCCAAGAAATATTTAACGTTAATTTTTATCTGCCTATGTTTTATCTTCTATGAAGTATTATAAACACAAATTGTATACATACAGGAGTCAAAATAAAATTATATTTTTAAATACAGATGAAACAATAGTATTAAAAGAATTGGAAAAAATATTATTTATTATCTAAAATTTAAATCTACAAAATATCTTAATGTGAGCATTGAGCTTGCTTTTTACTACTGAGTTTGTCGATGTCCGGTGTCACAGAAGTCAGCATAATAAGACGCATATCGTTTTCTGCATCTAAACGTGCTCGATATTTTGTTTTTATAGTTGTATCTCGAAAAAGCCGTTTTACATAGTACTACGTAGTACTAAAAAGCATTAAAAACAATTTAGCTTTTGAACTTAATATTGAATGATCTTTCCCTAATTGAGCCTAAAATTCAGATATTGGTTTGGTTTTAAATAATGTCTGATAACAACTATCCGAAACCATATCAATAAAAACCTCGTATTCTGCTGCATTGAGAGTTGCTGGTTTTGGCGTCACTAAAAATGGATTTACGATCCACTCATAGTTTTTTCGAATTGATTCTTGAGCATCTTTTGGAAAGTATAAATTCAAATTTTGAAGCAAATAATTAAGGTGTTCTTTAATTATTTCTAATAATGATTCATTCATTGTTAAAAAGTTTTCTTGTAAAAAGTTTGAAGTCATTGAAAAACTTTATTGGTCTTTGAGGTCTTTATTGTCGACGCTTTCAATGTAGAATGCAATTTTTTTCTTTAGCGCAAAAATTTTATCATTAGCATCAAATATTGTCTTATGTTTTGCTTGTATAGATGTGCTAAATTCATTAATTATTGAGAAAATATCTGCTAAGTAATATAATTTCCACAATTATTCCTGGTCATTCAAATAATGTGCTAATGAACTATTATTATCATTTAAAATTGAAAAAACTTCCGTTCGTAATTCAAGTAAGCGAGCTAACACTTTGCCTCACAACAGCCACACATATTCTGTGTGTAATAACAATGGCTTGTATACAGCTCCCGTATTTTCACACAGTATTTTGAGCAGTCTGCACTGCAAAGGTCGTGTCTTAAAATAGTTAATAATTTTAATCGCGTTATCAAGTATTTGCTTTAATAACACTGGCATTTTTTTTGTTGTGAGAGAATTTCGATGTTATACACAATGACTACTCGTGCAGTTTTCTGAAACTTTCTTGATCCTTGAAACAACGCCAGCAATGTTACCCACCATGGCTTTTGTGCCATCTGTTCACACGTCAATGCAATTATCCCATGGTATTGAGTTTTCAGTAAAAAAGACATCAAGCTTTTAAAAACTATCACTTTCACTTGTTGAAGATGGAAGTGGTTTACAGAGCAAAATATCTTCATAAAAAATACCAGAAAATTCGTACCGTACAAATGCCATTAACACAGCTAATCCGGCGACATTCGTAGATTTGTCCAGTTATAACGAAAATTTTGTTTGACTGATACGAAAAATTATGGTGTCTTTTTTTACATCGTGTGATAAATCTTGAATTCGATTACATATAGTATTATTTGATAAAGGTATACTAGAGATCAAATTTGCAGTTTTTTCGTCCGCCATGCATTTCACTACATTCACTATTAGTGGTTTTATAAGAGTTTCAGCGAGGGTGTGTGATTTTCCATCAAGAACCAGTTCATAACTTATTAAGTACAATGCTTTCAGTGCTTTTTCGGAATGTGTATTTACATTAGATACAAACTTTTTCTGAATTGCATTTAGTTCATCCCTTTTTCTTTTAAAATAGACTGCAGTTTTATTTATGAAGTCAAGATATGTTTTAAAATGTCGTTTAAGATTAGCAGAGAACATTGAGCTATTAGGCAAAACTTTGTTACATATCACACAATGAGGATGTCCATCAGCAAATTCAGTGAATCTGATAATTCATATGAATCGCAATATTTTCGTTTTTTGCTTTCTTTCCGAATATCTACATCAGGTATTGAAGATTCTAAAGTAGAACCATGTATAACATGTTCCGAATGTAATTCTAAAGAATTATTTTTACTGCATTTATTGTTATCTTTCTTTGACTGAGCAATAGTTGTTAGCTGACGATTTTCAGGTCTTATGGAGCCCGTTTTAAAGCACCGTTCCATTTCATTAAAAATACACATGTACGAACGATACGCATAATAAAATTATAAAAGTGTAAATTAACTGATAGAACAAAAAAAAAACACGTCTATCGTTCGTAAATACGCACAATTAACTGATAAAAGAATAAAGTAATTTGTGAATCAAACCTAAATTAAATGGTGAAATGATGTAAACAAGATAATACATATTCTATGACATAATAAACAACGGACTGAGTCGTCAAAGTCGTTTCGATTTATCGTCGTTTCGTATTACCTAAAATTCTAAAATTAAATAATTGTATACAATTTTTTTATCGGGATTTTACACAGTATACATATCGGTGAATTATGGCAATCAAGTCTTCATGAAATATATATTAATTTTAAATAACGAACAATTTTTAAATTTTTTGTGGTGTTACGAACGGAACCCTTGGTAAAAGCCATTGCGGAGCACCGGTTGGGAACCGCTGATCCGATCGACCGTCAACTAATTTGTCCAAATAGAAGTAAAAACTAAAAACATATCAGCCAAAATCAAGGTAATGAAAAAATAATGGACATATCCGCCATTTTATTTTAAAAACTTTTTCACCGATTAATTTGTTTTACATTTAACTTAATAAATGTATCACAACGACTTTGTTTAACTTTTCTTGTGAAACATAAAGTATTTGTATCTTGAGTTTAACTATTGAAATTAACATAAAATAGGAAAAAATGGCTTTTTGGCTTTCCTGAAAAATCGTGTTAGTGGCGGATACGGCCGTTTGCTTGTTAGCCTATATAAACTACCTAAAATTAATAATAACATTAATTTATTATAGGAAAATACTAGATAGATACTTACATTATAATAAATATCTGGTACCTACCTATCTAGGCATCTAGCTATATCATGTAGGTATAACAAACTATGATGAAATAAAAATATAATTGATTTATTGCAAAACTCATTATTGGACATGGGCAATATTTTTATTAAATTATTGTTTGGTTTAGAAATATTTTTTTAAACACCAACAAAATTTCAAAAGTAAGATAGGCAATAAACAGACAATTAAAAAAATGTCAGGAGTTGGGTAGGCAACATATGTACTAAAATTGGTAATAGAATTTTAAAAATGGGTTAAAAGATTAATTTTTAGGTGTTGGGTAGGTAACTTATTGAACTATCACAAGTACAAATCAGGAGTTATATAGGCAATATTTAGTACATACATTTGGGAGTCACTGGACTTTCTTATCAAATATTGCTAGCTGTAGATATATGGTAGTAGATACTCATTAGTTAAAAAATGTATACACATCTACGTATGAAATCAGCACTAATTGTTATGATGAACTGATGAATAAACTTATTAACACCATGACACATTCTAAGATATACAGATAAATTAAAAAAGGACTTATTGAATTTACTCTTTCGCCACTAAATAATTGAAGACACGTATGTATTTTACTATTATTGTTATGTATTTTTTCGAAATAAATGAATACATTTTAATTATGTACTTATATTTATACATTAAACCAATTGTTAGTCAATTTTTACTTCCATAGCCAAATATACATTTGAAATACATCTTACAAGAACATTTTATCTATCACACCTTTGTAATGTAAAATAATTTTTTTAGGTTCTTTTCATTTAATTTTGTAATAAATAACTATGTCGGAAGAAACAATTAATGATAATGCTAATGAAATGGTGGAGAGCTACATAAAAGATCATGCAAGTTTTGAAGTAAAACATACTAAAGACGCTAGTGTTGTAATTATTTCTCAGGTAAGTGTTGTACCTACTTACTGTTTTATATTTTTTTTTAATTTTATTTAAAATAATATTTGATTTTATATTATTGTTACAGAATACCAACGAAACAAGTGAAAAGTATATCAAAAACACCAATGAAATTATTTATAAAAGTACTGATAAAATCATTAATAATTCTATAAAAGAAACTGTTAATAAGAATATCGAAATAGTTAATATAAATATTACTGAACTAAACAATATAAGTACAGACAAAACGCCAAAAAGCTGCGAAGAAAATTGTATATTTTGTAATATTATTGCTACAAATGACTCCAGTGTTATACTTGAACCTCAGGTAAATTTTGTATAGTTTCCTATTCTTTTAATTAGAAAACTAATATTATTCTATAAATCAATGATCGTATAATGACTAATGAAAAATAATTAACAAACACTAAGATGTTTTAATATCTATTCATATTAATGAGTAATAATAATAGCCTAATATTTAGAAGCCATAGAATTGTAAACTTAGTATTATTAATAATGATTTAAAAATTATCTGTTGTTTCAGAGTGATCAATTTGTTATTATTAGAGATATTAAACCAGTGGCTACAAATCATTTCTTAATATTAAGTCGTAAACACATCCAAAGTGCTAAAGAGTTGCAGCCATGTGAAGAAGATCGTAATTTACGTAAATATTACAATTTTAATACATAGCTTCAATATTTTATTTTATGTATGTAATATTTATTATATGTACTTACATTAGTGAAGAACATGATTAGAGCAGCTAACGAAATATTAATAAACAACAGATGTGATTTGAATTACACAAGGTATGTAGAATATATATAATTTATAATATTAATTTTAAATATTTTATTGTTTTAGAATGGGTTTCCACTGGCCTCCATTTTATACAATAGCTCATATGCATTTACATGCTATCAGCCCTGTTAATTCAATGTCAATGTTCAATCGATTTCTTGCATTCAATCCCAGTTTCAGCTATGTTTTTGTAGATGTGAGAATAAAATATCAAACAATTAATTATTAACTTTTATTAGTTGTATAATTTAATTTACACAGTTTTTTATTAAATCAAATGTTTGACAGGCAAATTATGTCCAACATCGTATTAGCTGTGAAAACAGAAAAGAACCGAATCAATCAATTATCAATCAAAATCAATAAATCTACTAAAATGTTGCATTTAAGTATTATTTATTCTTTATTATGTTATCTAGGTTTGGCTTGAAATTTGTATTATAATTAATTACACATAAACATTTTATGATAGAAAATAATTATAGTTATAAACCATAGTCTACTCTATGATATTAATTATAGGTGGGTTTATTTTTTTCGTACTCTTCTAAAATGTCGCTTAAACTATTTAAACAATGTAAAAATTTAGTAATGTAAGATTTAGTAGATTTATAAATACAATATAGTTGTATCAAAAAGTCATATATATATTGTGATCAATTTATTTTAAAATAAAATGCTAGTATGCTAGGGTGCTAGTAATATAAACTTTTAAAATTTAATTTTGTCTAAATAATTGTAATAATTTTATAGATAATACAGTTCATTTGTATACAAATATTTAATGTTTATTGGAGTGTTTTAATTGAAGTTGAATATCTCTTCAATGAGTTGGTAGAAATCAAAAATGTCAAAATTAAAATTTACTTAAGCTAATACTTCATCCAAATATGGAATTTTTAATACAGGTTTACATTTGAATTTTAAAAGTTTACTCCCCCCCCCTCTCCAAACTATTCAAAAAAAAGAGAGTAGAATAATATAATAAAATGTACTGATATATTTTAGATGTTTATTCTAATATATTTTGTTTTTTCATTTTTTGTTTATAACAGAGTTTTATAAAATAAATAGTAATCTTAATTTATAATATATTATATACTGACTGTCCTGAATAAAATTGGTTTTCACACAGATTAGTAAAATTTAAAACAACTATTATTTAAAAACTATTCATCGGATATAAAAGTGTGATACATTCAAATTTCCAGAAAAATAAATTCTACAGAATGGCTACATAACATTTTCTAAAAATAATAAAATAGTTATTTTTTTAATAAAAAAAAAAAAATATATAATTCAATAATAAATATTCCTAGTCCTCATTCTTGAGAGTAATATAAAAAAAAAAAAACAATTTGATTATCTCCAGAAATATTCAAGGGGTATATCTTCATGGGACAATTTGTATATATAATTGAAATTTATCCAGCATGGATGACCAATTACAGTGAAAAGTATCACACAATAATGATAAATAATTGAGGGAATTTAACTTGTGCAAAAAGGTACCTTTCACTTATAAAATGGACTATAATCTTAATTTGGTTACTATAGATAGCTATACTGCCATCCTAAGAAAAAAAAAAAGAGATTATACTAGAAAACCATGTAAAACTATAATATTAAATGTAATACAGACAATATAATATAATTTCATTTTTTTATGGAGTTTTTTGTTAAAATGGTAGTATACTATTTGAACCATTAACATTGGCCAGCACACTACAACTATGTTGGATGAGTCTATTTATTTAAATTTCTGTAAATTGTTCCCTTAAATGCTCAGTATAAAATATTCAAATTGCAATAACTCATCCATTTTTTAACTTAGAAAAGAGTTTCAACCACTAAAATTCATTAAAAAATACAAAAGAAAAAATAAGTTCAAAATAGGTCATAAAATTAAAAAAAAAAGTTATTGTGAATATGCACAAACTGAATTATTACAAAAATAGTCTAATTATATGTAAAAATGTATAATTATGTTTATTAGTTAGTTGAAAAAGTAGAATTGAAATATATAGAGCCTAATTATTGAGTGTTTCCCTTAACATGATCACACAGTATATATGTTGTTCTCAATCAAATATTAAACCTATTAATTTTAATAAATGTTTTTTTTTTTTTGATTATGCTGGATGTGACTTCTCTAGTACATCACTTTAGTATTTATAATAAGTTTAATTTGTTTCATAATGTTGATATTAATAAAGTTACAACTCGATGTTAAACATTCTTAATAATGTATGGACATTTTTACACCAAAATACTATAAGATCAAGCCCCATTTTCTACCTTGGTACAGTAACTTTCAAGTTAGTATTTAATTATTGAAAAAAATATTTAAAATCTAATTAATGAAAATTGATTACAAATTATCTGTTTAATCTAATTCTTTAGTGTTTAATCATCTTTAGTGATAACTCAATGCTATTTTTGGATATCCTTAAATCTAGGAAGAAAGAAAATTTCATTACAAATATAATTCTAAATAATATAACCTCTATATGACTAAATAATATATCTATTGATAATGGCCAAGATATTTCTAATCTTTTTGCTTCATCTTCAAATTGGTTTATGGTCCATCTAACCATTATATGGTACCCTCCTAACCAACCTGATACCTCTTGTCCTTTTGATTTAGTTTACTTAAATTACAATAATTTTTCACCAGTTGATGATTTTAATGGGCTGTTTAATTAAAATTAGCTGTGCCTCTCTATTTATTGTATAATTTGTCTCCAAATTCATCATCTTTTCCTGATAAATAGAAATCTAGTCATATTCAGTCAATCCCTAAAATTAGCAATAAATCAAATATTATAAATGCTGAATAATTTTCCTTCAATTTTCTATTCCAAAACTTCTAGAAAAATAAATTGCCCATAAATAAACTTTGTACACAGAATAAAAAAAAAAAAATTGGTAACATTAGTTACCAATAATAACCAAATAACATTAGTATTTTTCCTTTCAGTTTTAAATTTTGAGTGATTTTTTTTTATGAATACTTTTTCTCCCAGAAAGCTTACTCTGATGTACATCTCTTTCTGAAAGGATGTCATTTTTCGATATTTTTAGGAGTTTTTCCAGCAAATGTGAAAACCCCGGGAAAAAAGATACATTATTAATCAAATATTATTATAGAATGTATATAATGAATATTTAATTATTTTACCATAATATGATATATATATTGTTAACAAAGTATCACTATCAACAAAACTGCGCTCAGAATCATTTTTTCGTTAGAACGTCTTTTTCTTTTTTTGCCCACTTAAGTGCTATTATTTCGAAAATTGCGTTGAAAATCAAAAAATAACATTTTTAAAAAAAGGAAAAAAACGTGTATTTAGATCAAAAGAAAGAAAAATTAACATCATTGTAAAAACAATATATTTCTCACTGCGCTCAGAATCAAAACAATTGTACAGTTAATTAGCCATAATAATAATAACGATAAATAGGCAATTAGCAAATTCGATTATAGCTCTCTGCATGACCAATATTTAGATAAGGCAGTTTATTTATATATTGGTTTTACAATGATGTTTATTTTTTTTTCTTTTGTTTTTTTAATTTGTGTACATGTTTTCTTCTAATAAACTTACTCCAATCTTTACATAGAACAACTTTTCTAAAAAATCTAGTTATCTAGTTTGTACTTCAAAGAGCTTATCTTTTGATTTTCGACACAGTTTTCTTAATAATAGGGCTTAACTGAGAAAAAACATATGGTTTTTTGCATTTTACAATTTCATTATTTTAAATAAATACGGAGGATGTTTTCTACCAGAAATAGTGTTCTAATGGCAAAATGACAAAAAACTTTTTTTGTTGAACAATGGTTCTTGTTTTTATGACTTAAGTTGATTTTTGATTTTCTAAGTAATTTTCATAACAAATGGGAAAAATTATGGAGCTTTAAAATTTATATAATAGAACTATGTTCAGAATAGTCTTTTGACAGCAATAATTTGCCATTGTTTACAGATATAAATTTAATAACCTTATGTATCATACTTTCTCAACTTTTCATCTACAACAGTACCACTCTCAGTATTGAATCTCTTTTTAATAAAGAAAATTGTATTGTTTATCATACAGAATGGCCGACCAAATTAATAACAGTAATATTATTATTAGATTTAGATATTTTATTATTGCTTTATGTTTACTAAATTTGTCCATCAGATGAAGTTATAATTATATGTGAAACTACCGACTCCTTTATATTATTATCTATGCAATTAAATATACATCACCAATTTTGTGCATGAGCCACATCACTGGTCCTGCTGCAGACCTGCTCGGTAGTTAGAAACCACTACAAATGCTATAACATTGTTTTTATTAATATTAGTTTTCCAACATTCAGTCCATTAGAAATAAAAGCATGCTAGAATAATTATTGAATAACAGGTTAGTTGTTTTGTAGCAGCACAGTCATTTACCATGCACCATATTGTCTACTTTAGTGAGCAATCTATAGTATTTATAATCAATGGTCATACTTAGTGGTAAAAAAAATTAATAAATGATAAATACAATATCAATCAGTATATTGAATCAGTATACCATCTTATAAATAAAATATTCGTTGAATTATCAAATTTTTCATATTCGTCTCTTAAATTTATAATATTAGATGTAGCTTTTTTTAAATAATTACATGCATTATGAAGATAAATATTGGAGGATTGTATTTTTTATAAATACAAGGTTAAAACCTCTCAATATATTTTCCCAAATTGTAAATAATAAAAAAAATTCATAAGGCCCTATCCACTAGACTACCTGATTATTAAGAAGCTGATTTTATGACTATATAAGTTATTAAGTTAATTTCAAAATATTATAATTATTATTAACATAAAATATTATAAGATTTTTATCATGCTGTTTTAATAATATTATGAGTAAATACAAAAATAATAAAGTAAAAATAAAATTATTAAAATGGTTAATAAATAAATATATTCATTATATATTAATTTAACTCAATATCTTGGAAAGTATTAAATTTTTCTGGAATTGGTTTTATAGAATATTTATGAAACAAGCTGCTCTACAATAATGTATTTATTTTATTTTTTGTCAAACTTATTTTTGAGAGTATAACCACTACCTACTTTTGGTTTTAAAATAATAACCTATGTTATAAATTCTATAAATAGACGAAATATTAGTTTAAAAAAATTTTGTTGTTGAAATGTTTGATTTCCATCAATCTGTTGATGAGATATACCACTTTTAATTTTAGATTGGAGGAGAATAGTGGAGTATTATTAATGTAGTGGTACAGCGTGACAGACTCGCGTTATAATGTACCACTACTCTCCTCAAACCCATACTTAAAAGTAGTATATCTCTTCAACTGCTAGACAGTAATCAAATATTTCAACACTAAAATTTGTTTTAAATAATACTCCATTTATTTATGGAATTTTTAATATAGGTTGGTTGTCATTTGAAAATCAAAAGTAGGTAGTGGTTTTAACCTTTAAAATAAGAGTGACAAAAAGTAACACAAGTATAAAATTGTAGAGCAGCTTTTTTTTTTAAATTCTATAAAATAAATAACGAAAATATATTCTTTTTAAATAAAGAAAAAGTGAATGCTGTCTGAGATAATGAGTGTACCCTTTAAATTAATCACCCAGTATATAAAAACAAAAAATAAATAAAAGAATGAAGTATGGCCTGAAGTATTATGATAAGTGTATTATACAACCGGTTTTCGAGTTAAAAATTCGTCATCAGGTATATCACAGTCAAAATGTAAAAGACAACTGAATATAAAAAATTAAATGAAATATAATGAATAATATTTTAGTATATTATCATTACTAATTTGCTATCTGGGACCTCAATCCAATCAGAATATATAACAACCAGCTTAGATAGCTGTGTTCAGACTTATGGACCTAAGGTCTATGGTTCAGTCCATTAAAATGAAGTTGGAAGAAAGACATGTTAGATTAAAGAAAATAAAATAAACTAAATTTAGCTGTTACTGAGAAGAATTTTAGTTGTACTTTAAAAGAAGCCTTTAATGAAACAGTTAAATCAGAAACTCTTATTAATGTTTTCAAAACATCTGAGCTCCAAATTCAATTGATTTTAAAAAATTTTTGGGAACTAATCAACTATGTAAATGAATATATTGATAAAGAAAATAACCTGAATATTACAAATTCCATTAATCTAAAATAATATTGTAATATTGTGGGGCCTATTATACGAAAAAAATTCAAAAATTTGAATTGTATTAATGTATCTAACATTAACAATAATTATAATTTTTTTTCTATTTTCTTTTTTGGATTGCATGTCTATCCTTTTTTACAATAATAAGAAATGTACTTCAAAAAATTGAAAATAATTTAGTTTAAAAAAAAAAAAAAAAAATGAAATTGTCTTATTTTAACACTTTTATAAATGTGGTATTGTAGTTAAATATGTTACTAATTTTTAAAAATCTACAAAGGCATAATAAACCATAATGATCTCCCTAAATTATCACCCAGATAAAATTTTCTTTCAGAAAAAGTACTACAATTGAAAATTGAAACAAGATTTCTGGTAGAAAAGTTGTTCATAAAAAAAAATTAATAAATAAAATAAATAATAATAATAAACGCCATTAAAATAGTAAAGTTAATGACTAATACAGAAAAACAGTTACTTAAACTAACCTTAAAAAATATTTATCATGACAAAAAATTAAATAATTTGCATAGTTTTTCAGTTTGTGAAAATAATTATATAATTAAAGATGTCAATAAAATAATTATAGTGCCAATTACTGTTATTTAAGAAAGCAAATTTTAAAAATCCATATAATTATTAAGAATATGAGTATAATTACTGTAAAGTGTAATTAAAATAAAGATCAAATATTTATAAATCATATTACAAAAGTCTGATAATGTCATCATATTATGATTATTTTATAATCTATGAATAATAGAAACCTGGATAGCTTTTAAGGTACAATAATTATACAATCTGTCCTATATAGTCAACATAAATTATATTAGACTATACAGATAAAAATTTTATTTTATTTTTACATTTTTGATTGAATGTCACTAATAAGTTTCATGAATTCAATATGATTAATGGCAGGAGAAGTGGCAAATACACCATCCTTATTTAATGGATCTTTTTCATTATCTTTGCTATAACTGTATTTATTTCCAAATTTATCAGTTAAAATTCCTCCAGCTGCTCTGAGAACTGCTTCTGGGGCAGCAGTATCCCATCGTTTACAACCAGAACTTGGATAAACATAAGCATGGGCTTTACCCTCCAATATATATAGCACCTAAACATTTTTTTTTTAAAAAAAAATTAACTATAACCTAATATAAATCCACTAATAAAGCAGACCTTGGTTGTAATCTTTATATACCTTATTTCCAGCACCACCCACCCGTATGATTTCACAGGGTTTTAAACCATCAATAAATGATTCTATAGTTTTATCATAGTGGCTTCTAGTGGTAACATAAACTTTGTTATCTGTTGGTGGTTCTTTTAACTCAAATCCACCAACACCGCTACCAACAAGACCCCAGAGAGCTCTTCCTTGATTTTTCCAGAATGGTTGATATATCACACCAGCAACAGCATCATCATTAACACAAACTCCAATTAGTATTGTTACATGATCAATCAGTCCTATAAATATTTAAAAAGATAAATACAATAGAAATTAATATACAATTCTCAGTAAATACAAAGTAATACATTTAACAACAATTTACCTTTTGTAAATTCAGAGGTTCCATCTAATGGGTCAATCCATATAGTAATCTAAAATAAAAATATATATTTGAACGTTTTGAAGTAAAAAACTTTATATTGCTTTATAAGTTACAATTATGGATAAAGTTTTGTGTAATAAAAAAGTCAATAACTTTATGAGGTAGTAACCTTTTCATATTTATTCGTAAAAAGCTGTCCTAGGATAATGAGTAAGGGTGCAGCCATTGTTGTAGATGGAAATTTGGGGTGGTAGGATACAGAAGAGAAATAAATGTATATCTGTAAGCAACAATAAACTATTGCTAACTAAAAAACCATTCTGAGCTGAATTCAGTTGATAGTGATGATTTGTCAAAAATATATATGACATATTAAGGTAAAATAATTAAACAGGCATTATATATTTTCTTAATTAATATCTTTTTAATATTGTACTGATTTTTCCAGTTTTTCACATTTTCTGGAAAAACTCTTGGGAAAATCGAATTACCTCCCTAAAATACCTTCCCACATCAATTTCCTTTCAGAAAAGGTGCTATACTTAAAAATCGAAGGAACATGACTGGTAGAAAAGTTGTCCACAGAAAAAGAAAAAAACATTTTTGTAAAACAATTTGGTCCATACAAAATCTAAAATATTAATATAATAATTTAAAAAATGCAGTATAAAAAAAAAAAAAAAACAGAGTGATCAGCTAGTGTTATACACTTAGATCATACACAATGGATGCCAAAATGTACATTTGTGCATTTGAAAAATAATAATTTAATATTTGAAAATGCATATATTAGTAATACTATTTTTAATATTTAAATTAATTTTGTATAGCATAAAATAATAATATTTGTTTTAATATGATTTTATGTAATTATAATTATTTATACAATTATTATTTGTGATCATTTGTTAGTTTCTGATTAACTTAATATAATAACTTATGATTTTTACATAGTTGTTGAATTTCAGAATAAATTAACTAACTTAATTTAAATAAAATAATAGAAATCACTAGTACTTTGTAGTTTCCTTTCCACATCCTAGTATTTTAAAGAAACCTGGGTTTAATAAAGATGCACTTCAAAGTATAACCCTATAAGTAAGCAAATCTGTTCAACAAATGATATGTAACATTAGCATTGTGGTTGAAAGTAAATCAGAAAACAAATAACATATCTAAATGGCAAATTTTATGGTAGTGTTGACTTAGTAACTAATCAAGAACAACTAGATGATGTACAAGAAGCTAAAATTCATATGTTTTTCTGGCAGTATGAGTAAATGACTAATGGCTATTCATATGATACCATACTGGTTAATATATAAAATGCACAATGACCATATAGATAAAAGTGTGTTTGAGGTGGGGTTATTAAGGTAGAGAATTAAAGTAAGGTTAGATTACACAAATCAAATTGTATAACAATATGATTACACACACACACACACACATTTTACATTAACATTTATGATTATATTTATAATTTCTACAGGTTTTACTTTCAATTCCATTTAATATGTAAAAACTTGTACTATTTGTACAAATATCTATTGTGAGGATTCCTCTCTCATAAGGATATTCCCCCCACCCTACACATATTGATATAACACATACAAAACATGATTATGAATTATTCTTCAAAGTGTCAACACATTATTTTAAATTCTGAGTGTAGCAAAGAATGTAGTGGTTTTATAAAAATTATTTTTTATTTTTTAAATTTTTTTAAACAGTGTACACAAATTTTACCAGAAATCTTGCTGGGATGTATACCTTTTTCTGAAAAGAAATTTTCTTGGGGTGGTATTTTAAGGAAGTCAGGTTTTGATTTTTTAGGCAGTTTTCTCAATAAACAGGAAAAAGCGAGAAAAAACATAGGAAAAATGGGAAATGTATGAAATTAATGCTTTCATTATTTTTTTTTATTTTGTTATTTACTGTAGTTCAGTTAAAAATATTAGAAGGAACTGGAAATTTGAAAACTTATATTTGCCTTTTCTCAGACATGGTAAAATTTTCAAAACATTTGAATCATTATTAATCTTTTATACAAATTTTAAAAAATTTATTAAAATTTAGTTGAAAATATACTGGATATTGAAATATCCAATTAATGGATTTAAAATTTGGATAAAAAACTTGTATTTGCCTTTTTTAGATGTGGTAAAACTCAACAAATTTAATTTTAAATATTTATTTTGTGATTTTTATTCAGTAGGTACTCTGTGGTAAAATTGCTAAACTTAACAGAAATGCTTGAAAGTTTAATAGGAGGTTCATCAATAGTATTACTTTGTGGTCAAAAAAATAGAGTTTAAAGTAGTATTTTTTTTTTTATAAGGGAATTTTAATATTAAATTATGTGGAACAAATCTAATTTTAAAATTGTCTTTTTTTTTTTTGAACATGTATATATATTGCCAATTTAAGATCGATGATAAAGTCAAAAATAAGAAATTAAGTTTCAAAATTATAGCTTTTTGAAAATCTAATATTATGTGGATATTACATAATATTATGTTAAGTAACTCTATATTGTTCACACTAAAGTATGTCTATCATTAGATAATGGTTATCTGGTTAAATTTGGGAAAAGAAATCTGAGTGGGAAGGTATTTTAGGAAGGTAATTTATTAATTTTCCCAGAAGTTTTCTCAACAAATAGGAAAAAGTAAAAGAAAATGGGAAAATGTATGAAATATAAGAATGAGTTGAAAAATATTTTGACTTTTTTTTCTGGGAACATATTTTCTACCAGCAATTTTGCTCAGATTAATAATGATAGCACTCTTTCTGAATAAAAATCTGACTGGTAAGGTACTTAGAGGATGCCATTTTTCAATTTTCTCAAGTTCTTTCCTAGCAAATGTGAAAAACTGGGGAAAAAATGGGAAAACCGGGATAAATGTAAAAAACCGGAAAATCAGTACAATGTTAAAAAATTATTAATGAAGAAAATATATACTGCCTATTTAATTATTTTACCATAATATGACTTATGTATTATTGAAAAAGCAACACTATCAACCAAACTCTGCTCAAAAACATTTTTCATAAACAATGGTTAATTGTAGCTTACATATATAAATTCAATTATGTTCTGTATCCTAATAATAATATAAAAAATTAGGAAGGTAGTAGAGGGGAAATTGAATGTATATCTGTAAGCAACAATAAACTATTGCAAAGGAAAAAAGGATTCTGAGCAGAGATCAGTTGACAGTGGTGCTTTGTCAACAATATATATGTCATATAATGTTAAAATAATTAAATAGACATTATGTATTTTTTTTAATAATATTTGTTTAATGAACCTTTCACAATTGCTAGGAAAACTTTTTAGAAAACCGAAAAAGTAATATCCTTAAAATACCTTATCAGTCACATGATATTTAAAAGAAGTGTTATCATTGTAAATGAGGCTAGTTTGAAATGAAATGAAGTAAATTGCTGGTAGAAAAGTTTTTCACAGGAAAACAAGAAGGCTGAAATATTTTACTGATATATTTCATACATTTTACTTATTTTTTTTTTCACATTTGATAAAAGAATCCTTAGAAGATAGAAAAATTACATCTCTAAAGTACCACCCCCAAAAAGGATCTTCATCAGTGGTTCTCAATCTTTTAAAAATCATGACTTAAATTCTCCCCCCCCCCGAAAATCTATCATCCACATAGTTTCAGTTTTCAAAAAATAGTTTATGAAAACAGCAGGGATAATAAAAAAAATGACTTTAAGAAAGTACTACCTCAATCAGATTTCCTTTCAGAAAAAGTGCTACACTTGAAAATTGGAGCAAAATTGCTAGTAGTAAAGTTGTTCACAGATAAATCAAATAATAATAAAAAAAGAAACATTGTATTGAAACCAAAACCAAAAAATTGCTAAGCTCATAATCTAAAACCATATATTTCTTGTAGTCTATATAATTCAATACAATATCACGACCCATTAAATATTGACAGGGACTCACCAGTGGGTGCCTAGTTTGAGAAAAGCTAGTCTAGATCCTATACATTGGAGTTAGGAATAATTAGTGTTTACATAAAAAAAAAAAATATTTTGGTAAAACCAATATATTCTTTTTTTACACTCAGAATCTAAAATAAATTAAGACAATAATAATTTTAAAATAAAATCTATTATTTTAACTTTTGATAAATTTTTTTGTAAATTTATAACTATTATACTTTATAAAAATTGTAAGTTCTTTTAACACTTACTTGATCTTCTGTAACATTCAGTAATGATTTTGGACATTCCAGATCCAATATATCCTTGTCAAGCTCAGAAATTAACCAATCTTTAGGAACATCTAAATTTTGACTAATTTTATCCACTTCTTCTGCGATAATACATATATTAGGATAGAGACTTTTAAAAGATGCCACAATACAACGTTGTGCAGATCTATCAGCTTCAGTTTGTAAATCATTTTCACCCTAAAAATAGTTTTTTTTAATAATTATAAAAATAAGCACTAAACACATCTCCAACTAAAGACATTTTAAACAATAATATTATATACCTTACACCAGTCTTCTCAATGGAGCTTAGTAATCATGTGTATATGAATTTAAATTTAAAAAAATATACAGTTTAGTAAAATAAATATATAAAACATTTTATACACTACATAATACATAATGTATAAAACTAAATACATATTTATGATATGGAATATATGTATTATTATTCTATATTCACTATAAAATCTATATATAACTATATATATATACATATATTTATTTTTTTTTCAATTCAGTTTTAATATTAAATTTTTACTGCAGTTTACATAATATTTTCAGTTCAACCAGAAAATAACTAAATAAAAACACTTCATTGTAAAAATAATATTGTCTCAATAAAACATCTAAAATATATTATATATAAATTAATACAAATCACATCTATCTTGGTGAATTTATTTAAATTTAAAACTAAAATAAAACTAATAAGTTTTTGTTATTTTTTAAAAAAATTAAAAATTATTAAAAAAAATAAGCTTATTAACAATTAATATAACACATTATACAATGCAGCCATAATAAAACAAATTTTAAAATTTTTATACAATATAAAATTAAGAAATTTTTATCAGAGTTAGAACTTATAAAACTATGTTGTTTTACTATTTTATACTGTATAAAAGTTTTATTTTGTGTTATCAATTATCAATTGATATTTTAAATATATCTGTATACTATATATATATTTAAATTTAGGATTAAGTATTTTCTACAGCCCAATTAGAGTGTTTTAAATTCTGAGCAGAGCAAAGAATGTATTAGTTTTACAATGATGTATCTATTAACAACTTCAAAAATCAGAAATCTTGTTTCAATTTACAAGTATAGCACTTTTTCTGAAAATAAATCTGACTGGGGTAGTACTTTGAGAAGGTTATTTTTTTAATTTTCTCAAGAGTTTTCTCAATAAATATAAAAAACAGAAAAATAGGTACAATACTAAAAAAATATCATTAAAGAAAAATATATAATGCCTATTTAATTATTTTATCATAATATAGCATATATATCATTGAAAAAGCATCACTATCAACTAAACTCCGCTCAGAATCATTTTTTCGTTAGCAATGGTTAATTGTTTATTACAGATATACCTACATTAACTATTAAATTACTTATAACAGTGGCTGCACCCGTCCCCATTATCCTAGTACGGCCTTTTCGAATTGATCATATATGAAGTAATCAATCTATCATAACACTCATTATATCCGAAAATATTACTCTTTCTGTTATTTATTTTATAGAATTTTTAAAAAAACACGCTGCTCTACAATTTTATACTAGTATTACTTTTTGTCATCCTTATTTTAAGGGTTAAAACCACTACCTACTTTTGATTTTCAAATGACAACCTATATTAAAAATTCCATAAATAAATGGAGTATTATTTAAAATAAATTTTAACTAATTCTTCGTCTATTTATTGAATTTATAACATAGGTTATTATTTTAAAACCAAAAGTAGGTAGTAGTTTTACTCCCAAAAATAAGGGTGACAAAAAATAAAATAAATACAAAATTGTAGAGCCGTTTGTTTTTAAATATTATAGAAAACAAATTCCGGAAAAAGTTAATACTTTTCAAGATAACAAGTGTCTTATGATAGATTGATCACCCTATATACATAATAATTTGCGAAACAGATTATCTCTAGATCATAAAAAAAAAAATTATAAGGTGTGTTTTTCACTTAAAATCAGAGAACTAAATAACCTCAGATTTATAAATGATGACTAATTAAGAAGTAAGAAATATTACCATTATATATTATTATATATTAAGAAGAATAAGCTAATTATCTAAGAAATTTATGATAATTTGTTTTATTAATTATATGTTCATCTTTATTCTTTATTTATAATAACATTTGTTGTTTTTATTTTATTATAAATTTAAGAAAATTCACCAAATTGATGTGATTTGTTAATTTGTTATATAAATGTATAAGTTTATAATTATTTGATTTTTAAATTTACAGTATTATCACTATGTACTATCTTTTAGAATGTATAATCGGTGTTTTATACATTATTGTATTATACATTTCACCCTGAATTTTTATAAATATATTTAAACAAATTATTTTTACCTTGTCGATAATTCCCAAGTCTCCTTTTTTCATAACATCACGAATTATTTTACCAGCTTTATGGGAAATAGATACTGCTGAAGCTAACAATTTACAAACTAAAGCTGTTTTTTGAGCCATTGTAATTATCTAAACAAATATCAATAAAATATATTTTTCTTATTTTATATATACTTATAACTATTAAGCATAAATGATGATTTAAAAATCTAAATAAAAAATTTATCATAAGAAAGACTCTTTTCTACTATGGTTCAGCCAAATAAGAATAGTAGTCATAAATTCGATACAATCTTCTGATGACCAAATTAACGAAGGCCAAAAATATAATATTATATTATATAAACATTGCATACAAGGTAATTGTTCCATAGTTTAAACAATGAATCTACTTCAAAACCACATAATAACCTTAAGTGATTTGTCAGTCATTAATCAATCTGTATAATAGATTTCTACACAAAGCTATAATAACAATGTACCTATTATTATTAAGATTTTTTTAAATGTAAATTTTCATTGAAAAATCAATATTTAGCCTTGTTGATAGAAATCAAATAATCATTTTTTTAAAAAAAGCTGTCCTTGGATAATGGGGACGGGTGCGGCCACTGTTGTAGGTAGGAAATTTGGAAAGTAAGATAAAGAAAGGAACTTAATGTGTATCTGTAAGCAACAATAAACCATTGCTAACGAAAAAAAATCATTCTGAGTTGAGTTAGTAGTGATACTTTTTCAAAAATATTTACATATACATATCATACTGTGGTAAAATAATTAAATGGGCATTATATATTTAATAAAATAATTAAGTAAAAACAAAATTATTAAAATAGTTAATACTCAGTAATAAATAACATAAATAAATATATAAATAAAAAATATACATATAAAAATAGAAAAAATGAATAAATAAGTGTATTATACAACTGGTTTTCGAATTAAAAATTCATCATCAGGTATATCACAGTCAAAATGTAAAACATGACTGAATATAAAAATTTAATGAAGGATTTGAAATAATTAATTTTAATATTAAAAATTAGCTATTAGACATAGATATGCTAAGAAATATAAATGATTTGGTTATTATTTATTATCTAAAAAGTATTGATATAAGATATCGTTTTAATATCAGTTTGAACATTTAAAATACTATTAAAATTATTTTTCTTTATTTTATTGTGAATGTGCAATTCTTCTAAAATTAAATTAATTTAAATGTTATTTTGTGTCATTTTTTAATTTTTCAAGCGGTTTTCATAATATCTAGGTAAAACCAGGATAAAATATAAGAAAAACTAGAAATTTACGAAAATAATATTTTAATTATTTTTCAATTATATTATTTATTGTAATTCAGTTAAAAATATTCGTAGACTTGAAATTTGTACAAAAATATTATATTTGCCTTTTCTAGACGTGGCAAAATTTTCAAAAACTTAAAGCCATTTTTGAGCTATGTATAGACATTTTTATTTTGCTAGTTTTATACGTAATTTTTATTCGGTAGGTACTCTGTGGTAAAATTGTTAAACTAAAAAGAAATGTTTGAAAATTTAACAGGTTCAATAAGAGTCTTATTTTGTGGTAAATAAAAATTGAGTTAAATGTATTTTTTTTATAAGTGAATTTTAATAATATATTTTGACGAAAAATTTATGTGGAATGATGGTGAAGTCAGAATTAAGCGGACTAAACAAGTGTCAAAATTATACTTTATATTGTCCTTCTTAAAGCATATTTGTCCTATTCTAATGATTATTTATGCCTAATATCACATCTTAGTGGTTCCGAGTTCAATCCAGTGTGACGAAAAAAACTTGTTTGCATTTTTTTTTGGATGTACCTAGAGACCCAAGCCATCGCTTTCTCAGACAATTTGAATCGCAAAATACCCCTTGATTTGTTGCAAACTTTTCTACCAGAAATCTCGCTCTGATATATCAAGTGTAGTTTATTTTTCTGAAAGGAAATTTTATCTCCATGATAATTTAGACTAGTTTTTTATTGATTTTTCAAGGGGTTTTCATAATATCTGGGAAAAACCGGGATAAAATATCGGAAAAACGGAAAATATACAAAGGTATATTTAGTAAATTTAGTAATTTAGTAAAAATATATGTTGGGTTTTTTTTTCTGTGTACACCATTTCTATCAGCAATTTCGCTCTGATTTAAAATGATAACACTTTTTCTGAAAGGAAATCTGACTGGAAAGGTATTATAGGAGGTAATTTTTCGATTGTCCCAGGAGTTTTCCCAATAAATAGGAAAAAACGTAGGAAAATCAGTACAAAATTAAACAAATATTATTAAAGAAAATATACACTGTCAACTGAACTCCGTTCAGAATCGTTTTTTGTTAGCAATGGTTTATTGTGCTGACAGATATACATTAAATTTTCCCTACAAACTTCCCAACTTCTCACCTACAACAGTAGCCTGACCACGAGCTAAGTTGCCCGGCTTGTTATTTTATACTTAGGTTAAAGACTATAAATATGTAAACTTGATTTCAATTTTTACGTTAAAATAAAAAAAAAAACTAAAAAAAAATGACTTTATTTTATTATTTTTGAAAAATTATAAGATAGGCATTTTATAGTTTTTTTTCTGAACATTTTGACATTTCAACTTTTTATTTTTGGTAAGTTTTATGTTTTTTAATAATTTTATAAAGTATCTATAATTATGCAGCAGGCTGTAATTCGCTAATTGATTATTATTATTATTATTACTATGGAAAATTATTGACATCACACTCTTTTTTCTGAATTTTAAACAATTATTTAAAATCACATATATAATGAAAACAAAATGTTGATACGTCTTCTAATTTTTCAAAAATAATAAAATTAAGTCATTTTATAGTGTTTTCAAAACACAACAATTTTATTTAAATATAAATATTTATAGTCTATAAGCTAACAAGCAATATATATTAAAAAAAAAAAACAATATGATTATATTTATTATCTCAAGATATATTGCAATGGGACACCTCATATAATAGATTTGTTTACAATATTTTTCAGCGAGCTGGGCATGTGTGGTGAAGTCAGAACCAACTCATATGGATGGTCATGGATAAGGAACCAGTTGGTCTTGATAGCCGATAAACCCTCAAAGATTTATTATTTGTCATTAAATTATAGTACCTAAAATTATATTATTGAAATATTTATTTTAAAAATGTTATAAAAACTATTTTACTAATAATGAATAATTAAAATCCACGTCAAAATGTTATGGTAAAAACATTGTAAATTCACTACCACAAAAATGTTATTTCATTAAAAAATATATAAAAATCCAACTAAAAACTCTTAAAAGGGTAAAGAAATATTCAACAATAAGAATTTTAATGTTGGTTCAGTCAGTATAATGAAAAAATTGCCACCAATGGCAATCTTGTTGTTTAACAGCCTCTTTTTGGACACTGATGGTCATTATCACATTTTCTTTGTTTTACCTGCATTTCGGTGCCACATTTATGATAAAGTTCATGTCTTCGACACTTTTTTAAGAATCCTTTTTTTACTAAAAACTGAAGACATAAGATCTCATTTAGCACTACTATAGAATAAAACTCACGAAACAACATCACAGCTATCATACTTAATAAATAATATAAAAAAAAAAAAACATACATACTACCCAGTTCACACAAGTCAGTGGGCACCTATGGTAGGTTCATATTATTTTATCAGTAATAATGTTAGGTAACATTCTTTATTAAACTTAATATTAAGGATTAATGGCATGAACCAGTTTTCTAAAGAACATAAAATATAAACTAGACTACCCAGCTACATGGTACTCATATAAATATGATAGTTATTATTATACAAAATATAAAGCTTGTACATAAATGCTATGCAGCTCATACTTTTAGAATTATAGATTTGAACAATTAATAAATATTCAAAAACTAAAAACAGACATATTCTCTTTAGCAGTACATGGATAAAGAAATTATAAAATAAATCTACAAAAATTAGGCGATATATAGACATATGAATGCATTTAAACATAATAAAATAAGTAGTCTATAACAATAAACATAATAATAATACTTATTTAAATATTAGAAAAGCAATAGAAATTACCAAAAAAATATAAGTAGGTGCCCACTAGTACCTTATGGATATCTAACCTAACTTAAACTGGAGAGTAGATACTTGGATTTAGAATAAATTCTAATACCAAAAAACTTAAATTGGTATAAAAACATTTTTAATGATGTTTCTTCTACTGTACGTCAATACTTAATACTAAAAATGGTAACAGAATAACCAATATTATTCTATACTTTATTACTTTGTTATTTGATCAACCTACTATTTTTAATCGCATACCTACTTGTAATGTTCGTAAATTAATAACATACTTACTTGCGTAAATGAACAGTCAAATTATGTACTGAATTTTGTTTTGTAAAAAATATTTTGTAAATTTTCAAAAGCTATTAGAAGCGTTTAGACACGAAAAATATATGTCACAATATGTTACTTTTGTATATTAATTTTAATTTAGACTAACGAATTATATCATTGATCTATAACTACAACATTGAATATATTGAATAATAATGAATTAAGAACGCCACTATTATAATTAATGATAATAAAATTTCATAATTTTTTTAAACTCTCCAATTAATTTTCAAATTTCTGTAGTTAATATATTTTTTTTTCTAGTTGTGGTTGTGGTACTTACGTTTACGAACATTATCACCATACCCAGATACCAATATGATAAATGATAATTAGTGATAATGAGTGATATTAAAATTTAGGATAATAATTATCACGCGAGTTCTTGACTACAAATGGTACGTCGTCTCGTAGTTGCAATGAAAAATTATGACGAGGACAACAAGTTATAATGAAAATTGTAATATTTAATTTGTTTATTCTTGTATTAAATTTTTTTTTCTAATTACTTTAAGATAATATTGTTTGATGCAATCGACCTTAAATATATAATAAATAGATATATAATGTGATTTAAAATATAATTACTTACATATTTTTGAATAATATTATTATTCATCTATATTAATTGCCCACTCGTGTTTTCATACACACCCCAAGATGTTCTTTATAAATTTGTCTTATAAGGAGTTCATCAATCCGCGGTTCTTTGCACTAACTCTATCGTCATATAATAAATTTTTCGGCATTTTATCATCTACTGAACATAATATTTTCCCTTCGGTTAATCAAAGTGCATACGTACGACATACAATTTCAAAAATCAAAAGTGACATTCATATTAATGAACAAAAACAATTTGATTCTTCATTTACCATTATAACAGACGCAGTGTCCATTGATGAAGAGTCACTACTCGTTATTGAAATTGAAAAATCTTTAAAACATTTACGTTATCAAAATGATCATTGGGACAATGTAATATTATTATTATATTATTTCTATTAAATTTAAGTTATAAATTAAAACAAAAAAAAATGTTGATTTTGCTAAGTAGGCCATACATGGATATAGAGAAACAGAAATTGTCACATGGAAAGATCCAAGAAATTTGAATATTATGCAGAGGCTTAGTAGTAGAGTATTTACAGATAAATCATCAACCAACCCAATGCAAAGAGTACATATTCTAGATTTATTGAATAATGGGTATGTCAAACCTCATATAGATAGTGTACGAGTAAGTATAGTAAAATTTGTATTTCATTAAAATAGATATATTGATATAAAACAAATTAACAAGACAATAAATAAGTTTGGTTTAAGTTTAAAAATTAATTAATTAAATAGTAACTCATGTGTTTATTTCACTAATATATATAAAATTATATTATTTAAAATAATAGAATAAGGCAAAGAATATTAAATTAATTAATTATATTTTGAATAGTTTTGTGGAAATATAATTGCTGGTTTAAGCTTGTTGTCTGACTCTGTTATGCGGTTAGCCAACGAGAATGTTCCAGACGTCTATACAGTATATGCTTTGTTACCACGCCGTTCATTGTATATTATGAAGTATGTTTTCAGCAATTATAATAAATATTAAGTAGAACTTTTTATTCACAATAAGTTTAGGCAAATAATATTGAATAAATAGGTACTTAAAATATTTTGAAAGTTTTAAATTTTTTTTATATATTTTATTAGTTTACAGTTTTGTCTGTGTCAATATTGAATAAAAAAATTGAAATAAAAATAAATAAGTGTTTCCCCATTTCCATCCTACCTATATCACTGCAGTAATCCCATAAATATTTAGAATGTATTTTCTTGCCTGTGAATAGCTATTATACCCAGCTTTCCAAGCACAGTATTAAATGATACAGTGTATTCTGAAATTAGCTATTGATAAGAACACTTAGTTTCATGTTGTATAGAGTGAGTTATATCTTATCATAACTATTTTATTGTCATTAACTAATAGCAATCATATACAACGAAAACCTATTTGATTTTCATAAGCTAAAACAAAATTCATGTGTGAGCCACTCTATAGTAACTTTAATGGATTTATAAATTGAGCCGAGAGTTTTAAAGAATATGTGTGCACAATTTGGACACCATCAGTGCAGTAGTTTTTGAGTCTATAGATTGATGAACAAGATTATAAGTACATTGGTTTCCTTTAAAAATACATTCAATAATTTATTATATACTTATCATGTATTATATAGTATTAACATCAAACTTTTTTCAATATTCAAATAGAGTATTATATAGATTTGTTTTTTTTGTAATATTTAAATTTGAATATAATATTCATGTAAATTAGTAACAGTTTTAAAAATTATTCAGTTCATTAATTCCAAAATGTATTGAACATCAGATAATATAAATAATCAATATTAAAAAACTTATTCACCGATGATAGGTTTCTCTCAAGATTAAAACCAATCTATTTGTATTTATCTTAAAAATATATTATTTAATGATTTGAGTATTATTTTGCAATTTTCAGGGATCATGTCAGATATAAATACACACATGAAATATTAAACAATGGAGCACCATCCATATTTAATGATATGCATATTGTACGTCAACGGAGAATATCTATTGTAATGAGAAATGAACCATCGACTGAAATTGAAAAATAATTTAATAAAGACCATAGACTTATAAGTCTACAATAATGAGGTTATTTGAAATATTTTCATGTAGTAAATTTGCATGCCTATCAAAAACCATAAGAGTTAATAAGGATGTATTAAAAAAAAGTATTTTGTTATTTGATAAATAGTTTTATTTTTTAAATCTTAAAATGTAGTGAAATTTCAATCAAAAATATTTAAATTCAACCAACATAATTTTATTTTGCCCCAAATTTATATGCCCAAAGTCTTAACAATCCTACCATCCTGAACTTCTCTTCTTCTGCCTCACCACCCAGGTCAGTCCCCTGTTGATTAGTATTATTTAAAAAAAAATTGTACTTTTTGATTAGAAAAGATTAAAAGTAATTCAGACAGTGTATAGTTAAATTAATAAACAAATTATTTGTTTAAGAAATATAAAGTTCAGAAATATAGAATGTATATCCAGCAGAAAGAGGGGTAAAATGATCCATCAGTATAACTACAGTGAAATTTAAAAAGTTTTTTTAAGAAAGTTCAAAAAAGCTGTACTAACTAAAGAGGATTAACCAACTGGGATTAACCAATTGGGATTAAAGTTCTTTTTTTCGGTATTGTAGATTCAGCAAAAATTTGAATTATATTGATGAGGGAAGAATAGAAAAAGATTGAAAACATAAAATTAGGGCATAGGATTAGTTAAGAAAGTATTCAAATTAGTACTAAAAGTGGAGATATGGAGGACCTTATTAAAGTGGATTGTTATGATAGGATTATGGTTGCTTTTGTGATGCTCATTAAAAGCCTGCCATGATTAACCTAGTGAGTATTATTTATCATAATAAATGCAGTAAAAAAAAAAGAAGGAAGCATTTAATATTCACATTATTATTAATTGATATGTATAAATTTTGCACAAGCATAGAATTTTTTCAGGGGATTATTAAGAGGATATACAAGAGAATACTAGCTATTTTTAAGTCCAGCAAATACATCTACAGATTTTTCTTAAGTGATATTATTTACTTCTTTTTCAACATTTATCATCATGAGAACATTTAGTCTATGGCCCATAGACATTTTTACATTTTTAAATTATGAAAAAATCTTTCATTTAATGCCATTGTAATTGAGAAATTTTTTATTAATGAAATAATTTTTAATGTTACCATAATAGCAATCGCAAAGTTATACAACTTTTTACAATGTAGTTCTTTACTTATACCTGTATACTGTAGGTATTAGGTATATCTGATAGATGATCAAATACACAATACATTCATTGTTTATTCAATTACTTGATAGCACAATATTTGTTTACTGCAGACAATAAAACACCAACACTGTTAATATAAAAATATAATTTAATTTTGATTTAATAAAAAAATGGTGCATTATTTCAGCAGACCAATGGGGACTATTTTAAAAGGAAGTGGTGCATCTGCACACCCTCCTCTCCCCAAATGACACCCCTGTTAGAAAAACTAAATCATTATAATAGTATGTTTATAATAAAATTCACTATATTACATATGTATATTATTCTACATTCTATTCATAAATTTGTTATTTATATATTTATTTACTTTATTAATAAAATATTATCAAGGTAAACTATTATCTAGACTGTTTTCTTTTTTAAAATGTGTTAATTTTTTAATCATTTTAATTTTATTTGCATTAATGGATTTATTATATATTTTTGTTCAAACCTATTAGATTAATAATACTTTTGTTTTACCTATTAGATTCTCAGTGAAGCGAAACATTTATTGATTTTTTTGTTGATATTTACCACTAACAAATTCAAAAACTAGATTTTCTTCCTCTATGGTTTCATTATGATTAGGTATAATATGTTGCTTCAGCTCATTTCTTAAATGATATTTTAATCTATAAACAGGAAAAATTATTCTGTTTTGATAATTATTATTGCAACTGTCAATACCCAAATTCGGAAAACGAGATTTATGATGATGTTGCAATTTACAATTTGAGTTGGTAGAATATGGATAGTATTCACATTTGAATTGTGAATACTGTACATTATTTTTTTTTCAAGTTTGATTTAAATTTTGAGGACAAATTATAATAAGAACACTTCTAATAAATAATAAATAATAAAATAATAAAAAAAAATTTAATGCACTAGGTGTATATGGGTCTCCTTTTTTTACAAATACAACTACTTTTATTTCTAGTGATATTAATATTGATTTGTGGAATACTAATGATAATATCTCTAAATATTGTAATGTATTAATAGCTTTTAATTTTTATCAAACTATCAATAGGCCAACTCCTCTAATAGTTTTTGTATTTATCACATATATGCAAATAATGTAAATAAAAATAATATTTGTGCCCATATTTTAAAATGTAGTATTACAGACCATTTTGGTACTTTATGTTGTTTGAATTGTAGTGATAGTTTAGATAATAGCCATTCTACTTAAATTAATTATGTTAATAACTTAGATCCGGTATATAAAAACTATAACAGCCTAAATCATTTAATTAAATGATTAAATGTACCGATCAGTACATTTAACTGGGAATTTGAAATTATTGTTAATTTTGAATCAAATGCTGCTTTGGATAAGTTCCTTAAAAAATTAGAAGAATTTATAATTTTAAATTCTACAACCAAAAATAAAAATAATAAAGATAATAAATGTTTAAAATTAAAACCAGATTACTAGAGGGTTGATAGTTTCAAATAGATTTAGAGAAAAATACTTTGCTGGAGTATTTATAGGTATTAATATTTCTGAAGGTATAAAAAACAAAAATTGATTTTTGAAACTAGATTGGACCAATACTGACTGGGCATTTCCACATGTCTATTTAGCTAATTAAGGTTTATTATTAGTTAAAAAGTGATTTAAAAATAACTCTGCAATTAAACATTGAAAAATTCTGCTATTTATATTTTAGTATTAACACTTAAATTTTGGATGATACAAAGTATAATGCTGTAGATAATAGTGTATCTTCAAATATAAAAATATATTTAAAAAAAGTCCGTTCTATTAAATATTTAGGAGTGTATATTGATTATCAACTAAAATGGAACATTAATCTTATAAACAATGTTCAAAAATTTGTTTATATTTTTAGTATTCTGAGGAATATTTTATCACCTAATCAACATTAATAGTAAAATAATTTGCTGCATGGATGATACAGCCTTGTTATATTTTGATAACACTTCTTTAGATAGGCTTTATGACAAAGCTAATGAAGGTTTATCATTAGTTAAAAAGTGGTTCTTAACTTCTAGCTTGGTTCAGTCTGTATTTACTTACCTTTTAGGTAAGTAGATAGATTAGGTAAGAAGCTCTTAGAATATACAAACTAATAAATTAAATACTACCATTTAATTTCATTTTTTTCAAACCAAGACTATACCCTAGTAATAGTACCTACAAAGATTCTTCATAATTTAAATGCATTACGGTATACCTTAAACATGTATACACATTTATGTTTAATCACAAAGCTATTATTGAAATTTCTGCACATAACTATAATACAAGATTTAATTATTTAATTGGTATTATTACTCTAACAAATTTTAATAGATTTTATATTTTATTTATATTGTGTTAAATATTATAATTATAACTCCTATTCACATCACAGCCATGAATAAACCAATACTTTTGTATACTTAGTCTTTTTTTTTAAATTGTAATCATTTCTGTTATTAGTGAAATTAAATTATTATTATGCTAAAAAGACTTAATAATATAAAGTATGATTATTGTACTTATAATCACAACTTTTATGAAAAGTTTTTAAGATACACAACAAAAATGTATGGTAGGTATGGTTTTGTTAAAAAAAAATTAAATAGCCTATAACTTAAAAAATAAAAATATTAGACCCCCACTTTAAAGAGTGTTTCTTTAAATTTTTAAATCTTTAATTATTTGTATAATATATTTGTTTTACTGAAAATTTCAATAAAATAAAATAAAATGTTTTTGTGATAATTTATGTAGTATTGAATTAGGAATCACATTTTAAACATAGATTTTAATGGAATTACCTAAAAATTACACACCAGTTAAACAAAAAAAGACAGGAAGTGTAATATACAAGTTGAGTATATAACTAATTATTAAAGCAGCAATGAAAAACATAATAAAATATACAAATATACAAACGAAAAAAATATCTTTACAATCTTTACAACCAAATGGTATAAACGAAAGTACGAAATTTGAAAATTCGGGACATTTCCCCAGCCCTCCCCCCCACCCATTGAATCTCATTAATTTGTATCAAAACGAATTCTTTACAAATGAAAAACAAATATCTTTACAATTTTTTACAAACTACTTACAAACATATGGAATTAATGGAAATTAAAAATTCCAATTTAGGTGAGCTAGGGAAATATACCATAGCTAGATAGGATTACCCATGATGAAACCCATGATGAACGAATTATCTGCCTTCTTTTTTTTTCAATTTTCTTATTGATAATATTACTTGATAACATGGTTATAACAACCAAAACAACTTAACCACATATACAGAGTGATCAATCTATCATAATACCATAAGATACTCATTATCTCAAAAAGCATTAACTTTTTTTTGGAATTTATTTTATAGAACATTTAAGAAACAAGCCGCTCTATAATTTTACATCTATGTTATATTTTGTCACCCTTTTTTTTGGTGGTAAAACCACTACCTACTTTTGATTTTTAAATGATAACCTATAATAAAAATTGCATAAGTAGACAGAGTATGAGTTATAATACATTTTTGATTTTCATCAATCCGTTGACGAGATATTCCACTTTTAATTTTTGATAAGAGGAGAGTGATGGTGCATTATTAAAACGCTGTGCGCCACGAGATTGGCCGCCATTACTCTTCCTCAATCTATACTTAAACTTAATCTCGTCAACGGCTGGACAGAAATCAAAAATTTCAACACTAAAATTTATTTTAACTAATACTCCTTCTATTTATGGAATTTTAAATATAAGTTTTATTTGAAAATCAAAAGTAGGTAGTGGTTATAACATCAAAAATAAGGGTAACAAAAAATAACATAAATATAAAATTGTAGAGCAGCTTGTTTCTTAAATATTCTAGAAAACAAATTCAGGAAAAAGTAAATACATTCCGAGATAATGAATGTAACCACTTAAATTAATTATCTGGTACTTGCATATATGTGTCACATTATGGTAAATAATTAAATAGGCATTATATAGTGATCTGAGTAAGATTTATTAAAAAATTATTTAATTAAAAAAAGTTATGTATAATTATTTGTTTATAAGTTCTATCCACATTTTATTAATGAATCATAACTAAGGATCGGAAGTTATTTCACTAAAATGTTTTCAAAAAATTGATTGCAGTAAAATATTACAATAAATTGCAGTGGTCTGAAAATAATAAAATCTCTACTCTAATCTACAAAATCGAAAATTTCACTTAGTAAGATTTAACTTTATTATTGTTATATTATATAATCAATGGTCTTTTTTTGTTATTTTCTAAAAATACTAAGTTTTAATACTAGTTACTATAGTTTTTTCACAAAATACAAAACCAAAAATAACAATATCTATACTATTATATAAAATTGTAAGAGGTTTTCTACGACCGTGCTAACCGAGAAAACTACTGAACCAATTTAGCTGAAATGTTTTACTGTTATACCCGATACTCTGCTGAAGGTTTTAGTACCACTTTTGTTAATAAAAAATAAGTATAAAGTTCTTGAAAAATTAAAAAATTGTATACCTATATTATATACATATTGTGCGGCACGGTGGCCCGTGGGTTTACAGCTACCTGGAACCTGACCTTTTTGTTCGTCAAATTGTATTGTGTTTGATATAGGCGTGTAGATATGAATTGTTCCGAGAAGTTTATCGCACGTACACCAACAACATGTATACCAAATATTCGTATTAATCTATATCTATAATCTATCTTTTAAACTATTTATGTAACATATATAAAATATAAAGTATTATCAGTGTGTAACCAACTTCATTTTTGTAATATGTATTATGCTGTGTATAATATTTAGTCGTTATGACTTTTATATTGATGTATATTGAACTCTTATTAAACTATCTATTTTAAACGATCCAGTATAACCACGACATGGTGTCAGGTGTAGAAAACCCTTGGAAAGACAGGTAATAAGTAGTTATTATACTAATAAGTTGTAAGCTAAACCACATAGTCCAGCAGAAACTTGTGTTCGATTGTATTAGTCTGCAAAAAAGAAGCTAAATAAAATGAGTGATTCAACTGCGTTAGATCTTAAACCGCTCAACAAATAGCAAGACTTCTAAGTCTAATGAGAAAGTGTGTAGATCTAGAACAAATTTTAAAAATATAAACTGACGACGTTTCCGTGCAACAATGAATGATACGTGTTCATGGGCCAAGGAAAACGTGTCCAGGTTCAGACGACGTGCCACCAGTAGACAACGGTGGCAGCGTCTACCACCACCTAGGCCTCAATCGAGACGACAACCATATATAAGGACACCGGAATCATCACCGAAAGAACTTGAACTCAGTCGGAAGTCTTAACAGCTACACCACGACCGATGCACGAGGAAGAGCACCGTCACTTCGACACCAACCCGTTCAGTCATTTTTTTAGTGTACTTACACCTGATAATTAAAACTAAAAAGTTAAAATTTTTAATTATTATTGTAAGCAACGCAATACCAATTTTAGGATTGAAGGCATGTCAGGAACTTAAATTAATTTAAAGACTAGATGTATTAGAAGAGTACTCTCTACTATTACATCTAGTCAATAAGTCTGAACAGGTAAAAACAAAAGATCACACTTTAAATGTTATAAGGACTTTTTTGAAGAATAAGGATCATTTTAAGGTCAGGATAATCACATTGTTGTAGATGAAAATGCAAACCCAATAGTAAGACCCAACAGATGATTACCCTTTGGAATTTTAAATAAGTTAAAAGAGACCATAGAAAAATTAGAAAAACAGAAAGTTTTAAAAAAATTCATCAACCAATTAAATGGGTTAACCCACCAGTAGAAGAAAAAAAACCAAATAGAAAATTAAGGCTGAGTCTAGATCCAAAAAACCTTAATAGTGCTATAAAAAGAGATCATCATCCGATACCTAATGTAGAGGAGATACTAGTAAATTTAGAAGAAAAGAGTTATTTCAGTGTATTGGATTTAAAGGACGGGTTCTGGCAAGTGAAATTATATGATTAAAGCTCTAGATTGTGTACATTTACTATGGGTACTGTTTTATTAGATTACCATATGGTATATAGTCAGTGCCAGAAGTGTTTCAAAGAAAAGTTAGTGATAATAGTGGTGGTTGTTTGGTGATATAGCAGAAGTTACAACATACTTTGATGACTTAATTATTGCAGGAGAAACATAAGAAGAAAAGCATGATGAGGCAATAGTTAAAGTCTTAAATAGAGCAAAAGAGTTGAACATTAAGTTTAACAAGGAAAATTTCCAGTTCAATCAAAAAACGATAATTTTACTTGGCCATAAAATATCATATGTAATTATGTAGAAGCCATAATGGCTATGAAAGACCCTAACGATAAAAAGAATTGTTAAGGTTCCTTGGTATAGTGAAATATTTTGGGAAATTCATTACTGGGCAACACATACTGTACCTTAAGAACCAGCTGTTATCCCGTAAAACTGATGTTTCAGCCGGGCTTGTATTATAATGAACCAAGTAATCGACAATCGCCAACAAGGTTTTCTAAATAAGAGGGGATTACCGCTCTTAATATATAGTACATTTCAAACATTCCACAATTTTATTATTGTCGCAGACGTCAAAGAGAAAAAAAACTATACATAAAAATAATCTATAAGCATGTGTAAGTAATACTTTTTTCTAAATTATATATTCAATTTATTTTAAATCAAGTTAATTTTAGAAGAACATAGTTTTTTTAATTTTGTAATACTGATGATCTGTTTTTTGGATTCCTGATGAACCACGGATCAAATTACATCAATTTGAATAAAATTAAATCCTTTCAAATCAATTTAATGTCATTGAAATTGATTTGATTTGTATTGATTGAATTAGTTTTATTTGATCTAATTTGATTTAATTTGACTCAAATTAAACCAAATTAAAACAATAAATTTAAATTTAAATCAATTTTAATTGGTGCAATTTAATTAAATTTAGTTTGATTTGTTCTAATTTTAATGAAACTAAATTAATTTGAAGACTAAAATATAATCTCAAACAATATGATCAATTTTATTTTCATACCTTAGGGAAATAATAACCATTCTGCTGATGTTATTGGTAATGTATCCTGTCTTTTTTTACTCTATTTGATTACATATTTTGAATTAAATAAAATTATATACACATTCACTTATTGACATTTGTATTTATTGATTATAATATTTTTATTTTTTTGCATGTTTTCTTAATGGCTTCCCAGAGTTGAATACCATATAACTATATGAGTTTAAGTAGGACATTACAGATGTGTACCAAATTTATTTTATAAATTACTAAAATTTGTACTTAATTATTAATGTTACACTATTATATTATACTTATTAAATTTAATGTTATATTAGGATCAGTAAACATACTTAAAACTATAACACTTGAATTATAATTTAAATAAAAAATATCACTATCAATATATTTTAAATAATTTTTTTCAAATGTATAAAAGTAGAAATTGTAAAGTAGAAAATAAAAATTAATGGCTCAAAATAAGTTCTATCACAATAGAACTCATGAATTAATTTATAAAATATATGATTTTATAATTTACTAATTTATATATATCAAGTTTAAATTGATATAAATAAATGTAAAACCAACAATTATTAAAATAATTTAGTTAAAAAATGTGGTTGACATATACAATCTGCACTTAAACACTTCTTGTTTACAGCCATAGTCAAAGGGAGATAAACTCTTAAATTTGGATACTGAAATTTCTGGAACAAATTTTAAACAATGTAATATATATATTTTTAGGACTAAAAGTTTAAATAGTAATATAAACCTGATTCTTGTATGTTGCATCAATCTGAGTCATATATGGTTCAGGAATAGCTACAGAGTCATGTATGACTGGTCCTTTACTGGGAGACAAGTTATAAACTGACACAACAATACAATTAAGTTCTTTGTCCACCATGCAAAAAGTGCTAAAAAAATGACAAAAACGTCTAATATTAAATGTTATATAATATTATGTCATTATAGGAGTCCAGATTTTTATGCAAAAACATATTTTTTACAAGCGTATGCTATTTAATGGAAGTAAGAAATGTTTAACTTCATAACCTGTAGAATTAGTCAAAAAAACTTTATTTTGCATATTAATGCATATTTTGAAGAAAATATTTCAAAATATTTTAGTTTATAATACATATTAAAGAATATTTTATTATATTTCCGCTATATTGGATTATATTAAATAATTTAAAACTGATGAATATTTGAAAGTATTTTATGTAAAGATGATACACATTACTCGTACTGCTCATATGCTAAATAGAATCACAGAAAAAAGTTAGATATATAACCTCCAGTAAATTAATTAATTAGAAATTTAAAAAGTGTTTTTAAAAGCTCTTTTCGCCTTGGAATTTTATATACATTTTACCCAGTGTACTATTATCCCCTGCACCTGTATTAACAAGATGAGGAATATGGCTGAAGGTCACATTTTTCATATCAAATCATTTTGATGGTTTAAGAAGTGTTAGAATAACTCAAAAATGATTCAGCAATAAGCATAGAAAAGTATAAAAACTGATTTATTTTGCCAGGTCTTAGTACGGAATGATTTAATACTTCTAAAATCACATTTTTTCATTCTTGTTCAGACAATAAAAATTTTAGAAAATCAAATTTACTATTAATTGAGTCAGTTGAAATGGCACAAAATGTTATTTCAAGTATGCAAAGTACACCTGGTATCAAAAATTCTGAAATAAAAAGTTACAACTTCACCAAAAAAATAAAGGATTTAAATTAATGGTAGAAATTGTAAGTTTTGTTGGGGACAACAACATGACACTTCCTCAAGATTGATCTCCTAGTATGACTATAGATATGCAAAATGCTCTTATGTCTATAAATGTTGAAAGATCATTCAGCAAATTTAAGACAGTAGTCTTAACTTCAGAAAATTTGGAAAAATATAATTTTGTACATTCTTGTACACCTTTACAAACATTGCATAGTTTCAACTTTTTTGATTCTGAGTGTAGCAAAGAATGTCTTGGTTTTACTAAGATATTTATTGATTTTTTTTATACATACTATGTACAAAAATTTGACCAGAAATCTTGCTTAGATATAAATGCACAGCACCATTTCTGAAAGGGAATGTTGTATATATGGTACTTTTAGAAGGTTATTTTTTTGATTTTCCAAGCAATTATTCATAATATTTGGGAAAAATCAAAATAAAACGGGAAATTCACGAAAATAATGCTTTCATTATTTTTCAATTTTATTAGTTATTGTGACTCAGTTAAAAATATTCGTATATCCTTGAAATTTGGACAGAAAATTTATATTTGCTTTTTCTAGCAAAATTTTAAAAAAAACTAAAGCCATTTTTGAGCTATGTATAGACATTTTAATTTTGCTAGTTTTATATGTAATTTTTATTCGGTAAGTACTCTGTGATAAAATTGTTAAGACTTAACAGAAATGCTTGAAAATTTAACAGGAGGTTCATTAAGAGTCTTACTTTAAGGTCAAAAATGAAAATTTGAATGTAATATAGTATTTTTTTTTTTTAAGGAATTTTAAGCAAAATTGAGCAAAAAGTGAAACAATTCTAATTTTTTAATTTTTTTTTTTTTAACACAAATATATTGCTGATTTAAGAGCGGTGGTTAAATCAGAATTGAGCTGACTAAGTTTCGAAATTAAAGCTTTTTATAGTTCTAATATTATGCAAATACTATATGTTGTTAAAAAACTAAATAACTCTGAAGTATGTTTGTTGTACCTGAATGATTATACATATCTATTTTCGTCTTAAAGTTCGCGAGTTTGAACTTGTGTTTCAAAAAAATGTGTTTTTAATTTTTTTTCCCTTTTCCCTTGTATTATCTATATACCTAGGGACCCAAGCCATCGATTCCTCGGGCTATTTTAATTGCAAAATTAAGAAAGTAAATCAAAAAGACAAACAAAAGAGGTATCTTGTAATTTTTTCGATTTAATCATTTTTTCTGATAGGAAAATTGGAAAGGTAGGATACATAAAATTATTTCATTTATATCTGTAAGCAATGATAAACCATTGTTTGATGAAAGATGATTCCAAGCAATATATAATTTTAAGTGTCGTAACTTTTTATGCGATTTTGTTTAAATTTGATTGAAAAAAAAAAGTATCTGATGATTTTGCAAAATTCACCTGTCTAGATAAGTCCAATATAAGTATTATTACAAAGTTTCAAGTCTCTACGTGTATTTATAAGTGTTTTTTTAAAATAATGAAATTGTGAAATTGCTATGTTTTCCTCATTTAAGTGTTTTCATTTAAAAAATGGCATTGAAAATCAAA